GCATATACTTTCTCAGAGTCTGTCCTCCTTAGTACTTTATAGATCCTGCCTATAAATTTCTAAATATTTATCTACATTTCAGATACACTCTAATATCTATTTTTTTCTAACTACTTAGTAGACATTTTCACTTGGATCATGTTCTATTAACTAGAACTTAACATGTTAAAAATATTTTCATTTAACTTATGCACACTGTTCTGGCACAATATTTCCAGATATTCCAAATTTAAGCCTTATTCATAATCTTTCCTGTTCCACTAAAGAAGCTTTTTATTGTTTTTTAACTGTCCTTCTTTCATATATATTTCCACCTGTCAAGAGATGACCAGAGAATCTAACTTTGGATAGTTATGAAATAGCTTATTTAAGCTGAATCACCTGATAAGAGTACCGTAGACCAATATTTGAGCTCCTGAAATTAATATCCTCAGAAATGTTCTGGTTTGAATTCTCACCGATGTTCTCACAATCAATCTTCCTTTCAATTATTGGAAATACCCGCTATCTTTCCAATAAGATCTATCCTCACTTGTTTCCCTCTTACTTATCCTGTTTCTATTGCTTTCCACCTTAGAATTCTAGCTGACTTAACAATTGCTACTAAGTGAGTGGTTATAGTCAATGAATCTTCAGAGACAACTTTCCTTTTTTTTTTTTTTTTTTTTGGAGAGGTTTTTGCTATAGGGCATATGCACTCACCAGAAAGACAGAGACAGACAGAGAGATAGAAAGCGAGAAATCACCTCCCAGGGAAATGGCCATGCCGCAACCCCTTCTCTTCCATTCTCCTCTCAGGATCTTGGACATGCATGCACATGCACCCGGCATGAGTTTAAGCCGCTGGGCCTGGGTTGACTACATGGGAGTCCAGCGACATAGCCATTACACTAACTGCTGGTCCCATGAGTACCATTTCTAAATTTAACTCTTTAATTTATATCATGCTTCCTTCTACTCTACTAAATACAGATATCTGTTTGGTTCCTTTCTCAGCCTTATCTCTGCATATACTTTCTCAGAGTCTGTCCTCCTTAGTACTTTATAGATCCTGCCTATAAATTTCTAAATATTTATCTACATTTCAGATACACTCTAATATCTATTTTTTTCTAACTACTTAGTAGACATTTTCACTTGGATCATGTTCTATTAACTAGAACTTAACATGTTAAAAATATTTTCATTTAACTTATGCACACTGTTCTGGCACAATATTTCCAGATATTCCAAATTTAAGCCTTATTCATAATCTTTCCTGTTCCACTAAAGAAGCTTTTTATTGTTTTTTAACTGTCCTTCTTTCATATATATTTCCACCTGTCAAGAGATGACCAGAGAATCTAACTTTGGATAGTTATGAAATAGCTTATTTAAGCTGAATCACCTGATAAGAGTACCGTAGACCAATATTTGAGCTCCTGAAATTAATATCCTCAGAAATGTTCTGGTTTGAATTCTCACCGATGTTCTCACAATCAATCTTCCTTTCAATTATTGGAAATACCCGCTATCTTTCCAATAAGATCTATCCTCACTTGTTTCCCTCTTACTTATCCTGTTTCTATTGCTTTCCACCTTAGAATTCTAGCTGACTTAACAATTGCTACTAAGTGAGTGGTTATAGTCAATGAATCTTCAGAGACAACATGAAATATTCACTACAGTTTGGAAGCTAAGAACAGGTGAAATAGAAAGAAAATCCTATTTATAAAGTGAGGATGGAAAGCAATAGTCCATGATGAATCTCACTTGAGTGACCCCAAGATAGTCTCCTCGCTGAAGGTGAAAACTGAGATCGGATAGGTGCACCCATTCTACCAATATAAAGGAAATGGGAAGGTGAAAACTGAGATCGGATAGGTGCACCTTTTCTACCAATGTAAAGGAAATGAGGGAGGGGAAGAGGAGATAATACTTTATTTTAGTTTAGTTTAGTTTAGTTTTATTTTTTGCTATTAGGTGCCAAGTATTCACTAGAGAGAGATCGACAGAAAGAGAAAGAGAAGGAAATGAGAAATTACTACCACACACACCCCCAGAGGTGATGACCATACCATGGTCTCTTCCCCTTCATTCTCCTCTTGAGATTTTGGTGAATTTGGGGACACACACATGCCCAGTGTACTTCAAGCCACCAGGTTTGGTACTTGAACTGCTCAGTCAGTCAGTCGGTCTTGTAGGATCCAGCTGACCCAACCACCATGCCACCAACTGGCCCAGGTAGTATGGTTATTTCTACATGATACTGGAAAAAAGGACAAAAGACACAAACTTTACCCTCAAATTCCAGGCTCAAGTCAGGCAAGGATCTAAGAAAGTAAATGACATTGCTGAAATAATTTCTTGTTTCTTGTAACTGCAGGGCTGACACTTCTGAAAACCAAGGTCACAGAGTCATTCTGTGGGTTAATGAATTACAACTCCAGTTGAATGCACAACATTGTCAGAGCTCTTCTATGAAAGTTAAGACCCTGAAATTTTTTTTAAGTTATAACCTAATCATTGTAATCAAGATTTCTTGGAGGGCCCAGAGGACTTCTGAAATGCTTTCCATAGAGCTGCCTTCCTTGAGGAAGTCACGACCTGCTTTCATTACTGTTCACTTGGAAACAAAAATTTGCATTCAGAATTGTCTACAGAGTGAAAAGCAGAATCACAGTGATAGCCAGAAGTAATTCATTAATTTATATTATTAAAAAATAATGGGAAAATGATTTAGTGAATGCTTAATCAGGAAGTAGGGGCATAATTTTGGTCAGGCTCAATTTATTGTTATATGTGAACTTATAGTAGATTCTGCATTAAACAAGCTTGTTGAGGCATTCAGCTTCTCTTTTAACAGTTTGCTAAATTGGACAATGAAACCTTAATTTATGGTGAACCTATGTAAATGACTTTTAAGGCCAGAGAAAAGCTGGCACAATGTAGGCAAAGATATTTAAATGTTTGGAAAAGCAGAAGTATGCTTGCCTTCCTGCACTTTTCTTTCACTGGGTTTTCTGATAGAGTCCAAAAGGCTCGTTTTTCTTATCATTCACCATAAGTTGATTTGTGAAGCACTAAAATGTTTTTTAGAAAACAATATATCTTTTTTCTCTTGATCCAAAATATTAAGGTTTACATGTACAACTGAATACTTTTTTCCAGTAGAGTGGCAAGAAGTTTGACTGTGAAGTGGAGGTGAAATCAACTGACTCCTAGAGACAAAAATGCATCTGTCCAGCATTCTAGGCATAGCTGATGATGGGCTTAACTATGGCGTTTAAGTACACCTATGAGCCCAGACATGGCAGCACAGATGGTTTGGCAGTCCAGGTATTGGGGCATGGGTGCACTGGAGCCAGATGGGAAGTCTGGGTTCAAATTCTGGGTCTACCTGAACTCAGTGGGTGTGCCTGTATGTTCCTGTGATTATGGCTGACTGGGAGCTTAGAGAGAGGAGGATCTTGGCATTGCCAGACCCTATCAAGAACACCCTTCTCTCCACCCCACCCCCACCCTACCAGCACTCACTAATGAAATAAATAACAAAAAGGACAGTTCTTAATTGGAAGTAATTTTCTGTTCCATTATAGAATTATCAAATGGGAAAGTCACTGATAGATTTAGAAGTATAGAATCCTAGATATAGATATAAAAGTAAAAAAAGGCGTAGTAGTTAAGGCTGCTGGATTCCACATGACTGACTGCACAGTTCAAGGTCTAGACCCAATAGCTTGAAAAACCCACCAGGCATGCATGCCCAAAATCCCAAAAGGAGGGAGATATGGGGGATAAGGGATTGTGGTATGACCATGTCCTATAAAGGGTGCTTTCTTACTTTCCGTTTCACTCTTTTTCGTGTGCTCTCTGAATTTTTTTTAAAGGAATTAGATCTAAAATTTCAGTGACAATGAGCATAAGTAGGTGGAAGAGGTGAAGAGTAAACCACCCGTGCTGTCAGTGAAAACTGCCATTATCACTGCTTCTAGATATTGGAGAACCAACAAAGAGAAATACAAATAATGGTTTCACTGTGAGGAAGTAATATTGCTGACAGTTATTCTTGAGAACTATTTACTATTATTATCATATTACCATATGCACAGTAACAATTATGTGTAATATGAATATGTGCCAGATTAATTTAGGAAAATTTTCATTTGATTATAATTTTAAACTGCTTTCTGCATTCAGTTTTCTGTTGCTAGGGTGGCATGATCACCTGCTCACACTCAAAATAAGACAATAAAGAACAATGACTGTAACATTTAATAAATGTTTGCTGAGCAAAATATGCCTTTCTTTCCTAAGCATAGAAATCATAGACAGTTCATATTTTGTGTGTCCTGTAAAGAGTTCTACGCTGAAAGCTCTGGAAAAGATGAGATGGAAGAAGACAAAAGTTAGGCTTCATATTTAATCTATGTAACAAGCTAAGTGCAGGAAGACTTGTGATGGGGCCCACAAGGAAACGTTAAATGTGGTGAGAGTTGGCAGGGAACAAGGTAGGTTAAGGAATAACTTAAATATAAAAAATTGAAAGGGATCAAAGCTAAGAGGCCAAACCTTTTGTCAAATCCAAAGGGAATATCTATAACAGGTTAGCCAATCATGTAAAAAAATTAAGGGAGGGACCAGCAGATGCCATGGTGGTTAAGGGTGCTGGACTCCCATATGGCCAACCACAGTTGGAGTTCCAGACCTGGTGGTGGCTTTCTTTCTCGCTTTCTTTCTCTCTCTCTCTCTCTCTCTCTCTCTCTCTGTGTGTGTGTGTGTGTGTGTGTGTGTGTGTGTGTGTGTGTCCCTCTCTGGTCAAATTATAAATAATTAATTAATTAATTACTTTTTAAAAAACTAAAAATCTTAAGAGAAAGTTATTTTTACTTATTAAGATTCTGAATATCTGCAATGTTCTTGGTATTCACGTTGAAGAGTTTATAGCCTAACTGGGAAGACGAAAAGAAAGTTTTCGTCATAGGGAATGAAACAGTACCATTTGATGTAAAAGAGTTTCAGACCTTCCAGTGCTTACCACAGGCTGTATTCCTACACTGATCATACAGAAAGAAGCAGCAGGGTAAACCTATTCTATAAACACCTCAGCCCAGGCCCTGTGCCTAACCTGTATCGTGAAGGGGAGACATGGAACTGAGAGTTTCATTTCAGACAGTTGGAATGGAGGATACAAATCATTTTCTGAAATAAATAAATACATACATACATATATACATACCTCATGCTGAGACTTAAGGAATATATAGGAATTAGTTAGATATTTGAGTGATAAGTTTGGAGATACTCCAAAAAGGAGAATTAAGGCACCCAGAAGAATGAAGTCAAGATGTAGCCCAAAGGATGCAGCAATTTATAGGCAGGTAAGCACTGGTAGAGCGTAACATGCAAGGGAGACTATAACAAGTTGGTGGCAGCAAGAAGGAAGCATTGAGAAGGAGGTCACATCTCCTCACCACAGTGAGGAACCTAGATAACAGTCCGCAGTAGACAGGCAGCCAATGAAAGGTTTGGGGGGTTTTATCAGAGAATAAATCATGTTCTTTGATCTGGGATTTCCTTTAAATAAACTTCTGATGCCTCTTTTTTCTCACTCATTACTCACTACTTCCCACTGGGAGTCAATGGAGTGACCTAATTAACAAGTTTGAGGGAAATTGATCTATCACTTTGAGATTATCTCTCGGGTATATCTCTGCCTTTTGAGAGGGTGTCTTCTGGTCTGTCCTCTGCCGAGTGGTTAGCTTAGAAGGAAAACCTTTGACGCTGTGAGGGAGACCTGACTGCTCAGCTGTGCTGATGACTGGATCCAGCTGTCTCACTAATTTAGAGGAGAGTGTTAACATGTCATTTTACTCTGTAGATGAATTCACATTCTACTGTTTTCTTTCCTAGAATAAAGCTGACATTCTGATCTCTAATTAATTTGTTCAAACACAGAGAGGGAAGGGAAAGGATAGAGTATCTTGATATCATAAAACTCCAGTAATTTTTCCTTTTAAATGTATCATTGGTAGTTGTGGTAAAGGTGAATTTCGGAATTATGAAGCCTGTCAAGAAAAATTAATGACTTCTAGAAGAGGTGAGAAAGACCAAGATAGTAAATAGTATGCATAAAAAGAAAAAGGTAGAATTGAGAAATATTTAGAAAAGAAAATAGGACTCAATCATGAAGATGCATAAAGAAGAATGTCACATCTCACCACAGTGAGGACCTTAGATAACAGTCTGTAGGAAACAGGCAGCCAATGAAAGGTTTTGGGGGGTTTATCAGAGAATGAATCATCTTCTTTGATCTGGTATGAAAAAGTATGAAAAAAGAGATATTAAGGAGGGCACTTGAGTCTTTAGTCTTGGTGACCATGTAAATAGCAGGACCACCAACTCAAAGATTCCATAAGAAAGCTCTGATTTAAGAAAGAGGGGATTAGGGGATTTAGGATTGGCTCTATGGCATAGTGGTTAAGGGAACTGGATTCCACAGTTCAAGTCCCAGTCCCAATGAATTTAAAAAATATGCTTAGGGCCAGCAGACAGGATGGTGGTTAAAGTGCTGATTCCTACATGGCCAACCAAGGTTTGAGTCCCGGACCTGGTGGTTTAAAAATCATGGCAGACATGACGAAAACCCTAAGAGGAGAATGGGAGAGAAGGGATTATGATATAGTTGTCCCCCCAGGGGGGTGATTTCTGTTCTCCCTCTCTGGAGAGTATATTCACTCTATGGCAAAAGCAAAATAAATAAATAAATAAATAAACACCAGAAAGAAAATGAAACATGCCAGAATCATGCCAGGCACATGTGTGTATGTGCCTAAAATTCCTACAGGATGGAAACAAACATAGAGGATTGCAGTGTGAAAACAGCACATTGGTACTTTCTCCCTTCCCATCTCTTCCTGCCTCTCTCTCTCTCTCTCTCTCTCTAGTGAACACATGTACCCTGTGGCAATAATAAAAAAGGGAGTATTTAGGTTTATATTTAAGTTTAAAATGTAATATCCAAGTGTAAAGTGGGAAGTTACTCAGAAATACTCTAAAGAGCGAGGAGGACAATGGAATAATAACAAACAATGGACAAAAATTCATTTTCAATGCCATATGGTAGAACACTCTCTCACTTAGAAGACAACAACCTAGAGAGGAAGAACCATGAAGTTGACACTGAAGCAAAGTAAGTAATATTGTTATAAACTAGTGATAAGTAGAAATATCAAATCTGGGGATCAGCAGATGGCATAAGGGTGACATCACCGTACTCCCATGTGATGGACTATGGTTCAAGTTCTGGACCCGGCAGCTTAAAATTCATGCTGGGCGCATATGTATGCATGCCCAAAATCCTGAGAAGAGACCAGAGGAGAGGGTATTGTGGTGTGCCCATCCCCCCTGCGGGTCGTTTCTCACTTTCTCTCTGGTGAGCACATATGCCCTATAGCAAAAATCTCACTTAAAAAAATACACACACTCACACACACACACACACACACACACACACATATACACACATAAAATCTGAAAAAAGTTTCATTAGCAAAAGAATTGCAAAACAGTAATTAAATGCAGCAGTTAATACCGCCTTAGTGGTATTATAGTTTTAATCTATAGTTAGAGAGTGAAATGACCAAATCTTCATAAAACACAGACTCCAATAGAAAATAAACTCAACTATATTAAAATTATGAGCTAACATTTATTAAAAGAGAATATAAGGAACGTGAAAAGACATACATGTTCTAGAAAAAGATATCAGCAGATATTAAGAGTTTAGTATCCAGTAATTCTGTTATTGACATCACAAAATGTCTAATGACCAAAAAGGAGAAAAAAGTATGAAACTTCAATTACAGATGAGAAAATATAAACGGCAGGTACACTTATAAATGTATGCTCAAACTCATTATTAACCAGGAAAATACAAATTCAACCCCCAAATTATATAGTTTTTGACCCTTACCATATCAAGAGAAATAAAATGACTGATAAAGTTAAATGATGTTTGCATGGTTAGCTTATGAGGAACTTTCATTCACTGTTAGTGGGAGTGAAAACTGGTGAAATCCATGTTAACACACTTTGATCCTTTCTAGCAAAACCGAATATACGTAAGCCCTATGACCCAGGTTTTCCTCTCAACATCTCTCATTACCCAGAACAAATATTGTACCAGAAGAGATGTCTAGAAGTTTCTTATCAGCATTTTTTTATAATTGCAAATATATGTACATATTTATATGTGTATGTAGGATAAATGTAGAAATAATCTTAGTGTTGGGACCAACAGGTGGCGTGATGGTTAAGGTGCTGGACTCTCCCATGTGGCCAACCATGGTTCGAGTCCTGAGCCTGGTAGCTTGCTTTCTCACCTTCCCTCTCTCTCGCTCCCTTTGTGTCTCTCTCTGGTCAAATGAAAATGAATGAATAAATAAAATTAAATAATTCTTTAAAAAAATAAAGAAAGAAATAATCCTAGTGTTCTTTGATAAAGAACTGATTAAAAGTTATATAAAATATTATATATAAATTATACCTGTATATATCAACATGAGATTAAATAACTGATAGTATTTAAAAAATCAAGAACCAGTACAGGTAGGCAACACTTGCTTTTGTTAGGAACCAGACAAAACTGTAATAAACAATTCACACATAAGACAGGGAAACTAAGGAAAAGAATTAGAGCATGAGAGGTCTTGATAGCAAGGGCAGCAAGCATAATGGGAAGAGAAAGACAGCTTCACTGGAGGTAAGGGCCATAAACAGGGTCCTGAGTCTATCTACAATCTATCAGCAAACCTCTGACAGGCTAGAGTCTGACCACAAGCCATGTGTCTTGATCATGAGCAACTGCAGGTTAAGAATCAGTTGAAAGCAGAAGATGGAGAACCAAAGTTCAACTGGAGATGAACTATGCCTCATTTCCTTGCTAAAAATTTGCCCTTAAGTGAAGATTTAGGATGCCATTGACACATGCGATGCATGAAGACACATGAACAGCCACTACACATACACAGAAAAGCCTCCCTCTACATGCCTGAACCTCACGACCTCCTTCCTAGCGCCGCTATATAAACCCCTGTTCCAGGGGAGACCTGCGCGACTCTATTCTCAGAGTCAGCCCACACTCTTGACTATGGAGGTGTAATTATCTCGCAATGAGACAATAACTCTGCTTTTCCTATTTCTAACTTGTTTTTGAATTATTTCCTGTCTAAAGTCAAGAATCCTTCACCCTAAGGAGAGGTTCTGATCCCCTCCTAGTGACACACACACATGAAAACTTATAAAGGGAAAGCAGAGAATTATTAAAAGAAGAATCAGAAGAGTGACCATTTGATAGAGAGAGGTTTGCATGAGGCTATGCTTATTGAGAGGTGTAGAGGGGCTTCATGGTACAAGTGCCATGTGTTTTCAGAGGTAGGATGCACTGATGTTTATTTTGTTTTTCTTTCAGATGTGCTTATATACTTCATATTTTTTTATATTTCCTCATATAAAGAAAATTTTCAAATACAACAAATAGGCTGCTAGAAGTCACTGTTTTGCAACATTCTTGAAATTATTAGAACTATTTTTAGAATAGTCAGAATAAGTAAGAGTGCTACATTTTGTAATATGCCAGATTAGCTCTCCCTACAAAACAGAAATGCAAATAAAGCATTGTTCATTTGCATAGCTGAGGTTGCAAGTCAAGAAGAACACATGGAAACTTCAAACAAAGCTGGAGCTGAAATTCAGATGAGTAACCACAACTAAAGCAAAAACTACTCCACTACTAAGTAATGCAGACATAGAATGGTCACCAAATGGAACAGTAGTTCTCAAGCCAAAGCAAGAGGTAGTGAACTAGAGAAAACCTACCTCAAGTTGGGATATCCACAAGTGTACAATCTTAATCAGAAGGATAAAAATAAAACAAAAATACTGTGATTCAGTATCTTTCTCTCTCTCTCGGATCCTAGAGGGTAATTATAGGAAGAAACTTTGCTTTAAAGAGAACAGATATTTAGCTCAAGAAAAATAATTAGAAGTAAAAAAAAAAAATTGTTATAATCCCTAGACCCATATCATTTTATAAGTGAATTTTACCAAACACCCAAGCAATGAATATACAATAAACTCAATCTAATACAA